TATATTATAGAACTGACACATTTAAATGGGAATACCAAGACATTCAATCTAAACTAAACAATGAAAAATAAAAAAGATAGTTTTTAAATTCTTGTTTGCAAATTTTAAAATGTTAATAATACTCAGTGCTTTTGGGAGATATAGAGAACTGGGCATTGTGGTGATTGCGAGAGGAAATTTCCACTGGTGATGTAATGTATATTGACACCTAGAGAAGGCATGTAGAAAATATACATAATGGTGGACAGTGCCTACCAGTGATGCATAAAAACAGTTGGTCTCAGTTCTGTACATTTCTGTAGCCAGCTGGGAAGAAACCAGCACAGTGATTGCCAGGGAAATTTGGTAATATATTTAAAAGTACAATCCATTTTACCCAGAAATTCCAATTCTAGGAATTTATTCTAAGCAACTAAACAGCGAAGGGCATAAAGGAAATGGAAACCTGACAAGGCAAAAGCAAAACAGGAAACTACCTGTCTGACTAAATGATCACTACCCTAAATTATTATGCAAACCTTGAAATAAAATGTTACAGTATTTAAATAGGCAATCTAGATCCACATAATTATATGCAAGAATATCTTAGGTGTTTAAAAAATTAAAACTAGCAGAACATTGTGATTTCATTTTTGTAAAATAGGTATGTACATATGTGTAGAAAATAATTGAAATGAAGCAAGCAGTTGACACTGGTCATCCCTGGAGTTGGGAGCTGGTGGGGTCATAAGGAACTTCGGCTCTTACTCATATCATGTTTTGCACTAAGCCTGTATACTTTTATAATCAATAAGGACATTTCTCTTACCTACCATAAATGTAATTCCAGGCTAAGGAGGTTTGGTCTGATACCAGCACCAGCTCTGTATACCTCAGATGCTGGTGGTGTTCATCCTGGTGAGCCAGCTTTGATAAGTTATTGTGTCCACATTGGATTCAGTGCCTCTCTTGTACTCAGTAGCTGTCTCTGTGGTTGAACCTACTACTTCAGACTCTAGCAATATACTAAAATGCCTGGAGTCAGGGAGGTCATGGGAATTTCAATGATCTAAGAAATTCTTTTTATTGTTATTATTGTTGTTATATATTTCCATATCCAAAAACGTAAAACTTGAAGGCCAGGTATGGTAATGCATGCCTTTAATCCCAGCACTCAAGAAGCCAAGGCAG